AAAAAAAAAAAAAGACCCCCACCCAAGCCAGTACGATTTTGGGATGCACCTAGTAGCATGACATTTATTAGGAATAAAGACTTCTGAGTTCTGGTGCATTTGTGCACCACTATACTACCGCTATMCGGAATCTAGTTGTTGGTGTTATTGTTCATTAAAGTCCTGATGWGTTGGTCAACCCAGTGGACGGGTCATCACATCCATTTCTTTTGTCAGGACAAAATTTTACCACTTAATGTTAGGATTTTGGTTTTATTTACCAAAGAAAGGCTTTCTTTCTGTTTTACAGAAATTTGCTCTTGACTGACAGACATCATTCATTCATCTATAAAATTTAATGATAAGTTTTTGTTGYATCTTTCAGGACCAAACTCTGGTGTCTCTGGTTTATAAAATCAAGCTTGGTAAAACTCTCTGCTCTGAGACCATTACCAAGCTGCAGACTGGGACCACAACCAAAAATACATCTGATTTTTTCACRGAGCTGATCTTTGCCTTTAAACATGGTTCTTTATCTGATCAATCCACTAAAATAACTTCAATTAATTCAGTTCTGAGTCATTTACAACCATCACTCAACCTCCTCATCAGCTCATCATTGGCAGGATCCTACATAAAGAGCCCGCAGTGTTGTGTTTTTCTTTGTCTACCAGACAAAACAGTATTTGTAYACAGCAGCACAGTTAGCCAGATGATTCATCAGCTGATGCAGATTTGCCTTTTTTAGATAACACTCAAGTACTGAGGTTSAGTTTGAGGTCTCATTGATTCATCTCTTTAAATCAGATATTCTTAGCCATTACTGAAAGGTACCTTTTTGCATAAATGTGTTTTATATACGTTTCTTTGACTCCAATTTCTAAAAGTTGGGAAAATGAGCTTCAGTGCAACAAAAATGAATACAGTAAACTTCAGAATTCAGCACCAGTGTGAAAAATAAACCAGTAGATATATTTACCTGTATGGTTTGGCTCTGGTAGACTTTGATGACATGAAAGTTAAAACTGTAGACTCCTTTTCTCGGGGACAAAAACACAGACTCAAATGTGAAGTAGTTTCCTATATTCACAAGCACCTGTGGAGAGAAAGACAAGTAAGAGAGGAGRGAAAAAAACAATACATTTATGTTTATTTATTCAGGACTTCAATAAAGGCTTTAATTTCAAAAGGGATTCCAGATTAAATATTAAAAAAGGAAATCAGGCATGAGGAATTGTCTGCTACAGGTCTCCCTGCTGGATCAGACACAAACTGAGAGTGACACCGATCACAAAACATTCCCTTTAACTTCTCTTCTCTGTGGACCAAAAACGAGTTTCTAACGGTTCCATCAGAGTTTACTTTCAAATTAAAATCCACTTTTTCACACAAACTATTCTCAGATGTTTTAATTGTCAACCTTTAACAGCAGATCTGATAAATAAATACATAAATGTCTTGTCTTTGCTTGTTGTAATTGATCTAACCTGAATATGTCAGTCTACATATCTGTAAAGCCCRTCTTTAATGTCACTAAAAGGTTTTTCAGCAGACTACGGTCACATTAGAGCTTCAGTGTTTAAAGTCCTTCCTCCTAATGAGATGTCATTTATAAAGTTACACAKTCAAAAATTACCATTAATGTTTTTGTTTTATTTAGACTTTTATAAGAAAAAAAGAACAGATTTATTTTTCTAAGTCAGTTTTTCACCATATGATT